AAGATGCCGTCCTCGACGGAGCGAGTCATGAAGTGTAAGTCGAAGTGCTTGATGTCTTTGCCGTCCTTCAATGACCTCTCTCTGTGTCGTCGTGTTATGGTGGCGGCCGATCGTCGATGAGCATCGTTTATTCGTTTTAGCCGTAGCGTTCCCTCAGTGCCATAAACTGACCATGGACGAGGTGTACGAGCGCCGAACGAGCAGTCCTCGTCCGGAGGTACTTCGGGAGCACTTTATTAAAGAAGGTCGCGTCGAAGAAGACGTGGCGATGAGAATCATCGAGGAAGGTACCGCACTGCTACGTTCCGAAGATACCATGCTCGATATCAATGCTCCTGTTACCGGTAGGTGGATTATCGCATATATCCTTATTCTCTGTGTTTGTGCCTCAGTGAATCACGCGCTCTATATTTTCTGTCATTAGTTTGTGGCGATATCCATGGCCAATTTTATGACCTTATGAAATTGTTCGAGGTCGGAGGACCACCGTCTACGACCCAATACCTTTTCCTTGGCGACTACGTGGACCGCGGATACTTCAGCATCGAAGTAAGCGTCTAGTGAACACCAAGCCCTTTGTTACAGTTGCGTTGTTCATTTTCGTGATGGTCCTCGAGCCTCTGCCCGCTGCTCTGTTTTGTTTTGCCGTTGTTGAAGTTTTCCTGATTTCCAGTGTCCCTTTTACGCGTCTGGCATCGATCAGTTGCGTGTGTGTTTCGCGATGTTTGTATGTTTGTGTATGTGTAGTGTACGTTCGGCGGGTCGTCTGTTTTTCTTGCCGCGTGCCAACCTTTGAACGTTTCTTTTTGATCCACTCGGTCTCCGAGTTGTTGCTAAACAAAATAAGGCAGATTTGGCCAGCTGTTTGCGCCATAGCGCATCACTAGAATGCCGAAACAGGTTAATTCCTTACGCGATGCTACTCCAGCATCTAGCAGCAAAAATATGAAGATAATCATAATTACTGCATAATACCGTTAGTCTGGCAGAAATTTGAAAACGGCGATTTGATTGGTAATTTGGATATCGCATAATAATGTAATGCGCAGTTTATTGTTTGATTTGAATCACAAAGTAAGCGAAACGATGAATGCATGACAAGATATAACGAAAACAGCATTTTCAGACACGAAATGACATGTTCTTGCGGCTTGGTAAAATGACTATTTTAACAAGTATCAAGAAGGAAAAGGTAGTCAGTTAGCGTTTCCAGACTTTAAGTCGTAGCTGAATTGTGTAAAGCGGTTAACTTTAAGTTATCAATTTTTGAATTGCCTATAAATCTATTAGGAAAGCTAACGAAACATTTGAATCATCGGTAGGAGGCCAATAAAAGTTGTTTATAAAATGAATTTTTCCCCGGTTGAGGCGACTTCGATATAGTAAAGATAGTTTATTTTTTAATAGTAGAATTTCTATCACTGGTTTTGTCACGTTGGTTTTTGGTCGGCGAAGTCTTCGTTCGCCGAGCAAACTTATGCGTCTTTGACCAATCGGCGCGGAGAACGCCGTTTTGAGTTCTCCCTGAACGAAACGCAGCAGCGATGGTCTTCTACTAAACGAAGAAAATCGATTATTCGTGGGAAACAGTCTAATCACGGAGCGGATCGTTGTTAGTAATTAGCAGCTCGCTTCGATGCGAGCAACTGGCTAACTTAATACGAGGCGATGTGGTCTCAGTGGCGAAGAGGCAGATATTGGGAGGTGTGGGAGACTAGGTTTTTCTGGGCGGGGAGGGGACAGCTGAGGCAGGGCTGGTGGTCGTAACTACCTACTGCTTGGTTTCGTCGACCGCGGCTATCTTGTACGTTCTGCCGCCGATGTGGCATTTTGTCCATCTGTTATTACTGGCAGCGGTGAGCCGCCCGCGGCGAGTGTCAGTCAGGTTGCGGCGGAAAATAATGAGGGATGATAGGTAACAGCGTTGTGTGCTCCTCGCGACGTACTCCTTCGCTACCGCCGCCTAGCGCCTGCTACAACACGTGCCACTCTTGCTCGACATATGCCGCATACACTTCGAAAGCCGGCCCAGTGGCTGCCGCCGCTTTGCCGTCCTCGCCTCTTTCTCTCTTCGCTCTTCATCCACCGTGGATAACGATTGGAGCAAGGGAAAGATTTTGTTGCCACGTCGTTCTGACCTCTTCTCTCGATCCTCTCTTCAATAAAAGTTTTTGAGCTTATTTTTTGCGAACGATTTGCAAATCGCTCGGCCTTTTGCTTTTTCTAAAGAATTTTTTTCTTCCAGCTTCTCATTTAATGTTTCTTCAGAAAACTGCAAAGATTTAGCTCTCGAATGCGCGTTCATCGTGTTTCCTTCACTTCATTTACTCGCACATTTTATCGAATTTTATGAATCGGCCTTTAAAACCACAATTGTAAGCTGCTGAATGTTTTGGATCAGCGTCGAATCGCCTTTCACCTGGTGCATGTAGATCGTTGACATGATGAAGAAAGTCAGCACGGCATCCTCCCCTATGTTCCGCAGAAAAGGTTAGACTCCGATGCCAGTACTACCCCTCATATTATGTGTCACCTCAGTATTTTTTTACTGCTGACGGTATCCAAATAAGCCATAATTTTAAGCTCGCCGAGATTTATCCCATCAATCTGTGCTGTGTACCACCGAGTGGATGCACAAGAGAGTAAGAAGAATCACAGACCTGACATTCAAGATCGGAAGATTGATCGTGAATGATCTTAGGCAGGCATCCACTGTACCAGATCCAGACAAGAAAAGCAAGGAACCATGTTAAGTCAACCTTCTGCCGAAGAGAGCTTGACAGACTCCGTTCTGTTGTTCATCGCCAAGTGCCATACAAGTATGCCAACAAAGGAGACAAATCTGTTTGAAAACATGCGTAGTAGATCTCTAGTTCTTTGTCATAGTATCCTCTTCTGACGCATTTCACCAACGCATTGTACATCTTTGCTTTTAACATCTTTTATTAACAGTAGATACCTATGGATAGCTTTGCATTGCACCTTAAAAATAACTGGCGCTAATTGATCATGCTATGCGTACATTCACATTTATGACGTTGGTACATAAGCTCAAAAGAGGTCAGTGGAGTAGAGGGCCGTGGCTTGGCTTTGCAGTTCATTTTGTATAGGGGTCGCTCAGTCGGTAGAGCCTCGGGCTCGGAAGCAATAGGTCTCGGTTTTGAATCCCCGTCGGATCACTCGCCTTTCTTCCTTCCGAGATTTATAAATGAGTACTACTATGTGGGAAGGAAGCAGGGTAGTCAGTTTGCTTATCAAGTAGCTTCGCTCAGCTCTGCTTTTAAATAAGATATTCTTGACTGATCAAACAGTAAAGGAGATCAACGCTCCACCATTAACTTCCATGTCAAAATTGACCCCGTCATATAGTTTAAGGAAAACTGATATTACTGCGTTAATAACATTCTTTTGTTTCGTTGCTTCTTTGTACTTTATAGGTAGATTTTTCCTGTTGCGGTTTAAATTCATTTCATGAACTGTTGATTCATTGAAGTCTGAATAACGTTTACTACTTAATTAAAATTACTAATGAAACCAATTTTTTACCAGCTCAAACAAAAAACAAAAATAATCATTAAATGAAGCTTTATCAAACAAAGTTAGAAATTTCAGGCAAAGTTCTTACCGGTGCTGTCTATTGCGGTTGGAAAAAAATTGTGAAGATTGGGACGTCGGTCTCCCTTTCACACCTTCTTGAGAGGCGGCTATTTAATGCCCTTCATATCGTTGAGGTTCGCTTTTGGTGCGGTGCTCTTCTCCGATTTAATGCCATCATCCAGCAGTGCCTTTTTAAAGGTACAATCTGTAGCTGACTGACAAACATAGCGTTACTAATACGGTAGCACAGTCACAAAAAAAAGCATTGGCAAATAACTGTTGCATTAAACATCGATAAATAATTGTCTGACCGTTTTTTGTCTCTGACCTTCGGGATGGAGCTAGAAAAATAAACGTACTCTAGAGCTCTGTCATATCAGATATGCTGATATAAGTAGCTCGGATGAACGCATGGAGTGACAGGCATTGCGTAAGGTTGTCAGGCCGGCGCTGATTCGGCAAAATGTTATGCTGTATCCTTTAACCAAGATCACTTAGCCTGAAGACAAGAGTCCGTGGCTCACACAAGACATTGACTGTTATTCTGGGTAAAACAGTCACTGCTCATAGGTATAAATGGTGAACGCATGGGAAAATGATACTTTTAACCGCATTTTACTGTCATCACCCAGGTACTCCCGGAAGAACATGAGAAGAAGTGTAGCCTCGTGTTTTTCATTCGTCTTGAACAATTTATCGCTTGTCTAAAGATGAAATTACGGCATGGATAGCAACAAGGGAAGCTTGCTTGCACTTTTGCAAGCCGCTGTAGAAACGGCCGGAGATCAGTTTGTAGTGTTGAGATGAAGTACTGAATTTTTCACGCTGCCGTCCGCAATTTCCTCTTTCATGAACGCGAAAGCCAGTTCTAAGAGTGATATGAGGAAACTAACATTCTTTGATCACTGATGTTAACCAATCATCTTGCGAAAATGATTTATCGGCGACATATCAAATGTCTAAATCCATGGTCTTAGCAACAAGATCCACTTCTCTACTGTCGTGCCAGAAAACGACTTAAGACGGCTTAAGACGTCTGCCAGATGATATCACCTCCAACACTGAACGAGGCGATGAAAAACCGCATAAAATATGGTATATAATATACAAGATTAAAGATGATATAGTAGTCAACCTGGTGACTGATCGATACCGACGTGTCGGCCCGTGTCTCACAGGTGTACTTCATCGAAGACAGGTGGTAGAGTTTCGTGAATTTCGTTTCTCGTGCGCAGCAGTTGATGGGTTCGGAGCCAGAAGGCCTTCTGGCCGACGGTATGAAATCATTGTGTTTTCCACTGGTCATGCCAAAACACCCTCGTTCATTCTGCGATTACTTTCGCTGTGTTGGTTTTGTCGGCACGCCAATGTATCTTTCAGTTAGACTGTCGTGCGAGTGATATCTATCCACCTGGACATTTGAACGTTCGTTGCTTCAACTGCTACTGGTCAGGGGTTATTTATTGCATTCACTTTCGAGAGAAGATCGTTTAGGATCGGCGACTTTAAATTTTCTAAACAAGGTATGTGCTGAAGAGTAATTCGCGAATGCACACAGTTCGTACGTTTCGGTACATGGAAACGAAGAAGTTAAAGGAAGAGGAATGAAAAAATGAAAGATTCAATTGTTTAAAGACGTCTGTGCATCGTCCTTAGTGACGGAACTATCCATTTAAAGTTAATTTTGACGGCTGTTGTTGTTTTCAGCGCTTTCGTTACCATCTACAACATTTGGTCTAAGAAAACAATGTTCGTTTATGGTAAAATCTATCTGTGCTTTGCACGTTGCAGATCAGCGTTGCTTTACGGTATCGAGCCCGTCTTTCCATCGAATAATTAAAATCGACTGTTGCGTACTGTACAGCTGCGTCGGCTTCGATGTGTGACGAAGGTTTAATGATGGAACCATTTAAGGAGTGAATATTCTCTTTCGACAGACTTGTTTATCATAAACCGTTTATTCC